CCCTTGTTTCCCTCCTCCTCTCGAATGGAGCTCTAATTTGCCTCTCAGTTCTAGTGCTCTCTAATACATTCTGTCATGGTCTACCACTGCAGCTTGAATTACAAGTACTGATCCTGTGACTCAATGCAGATTTTAGGAAGTAAAAGGAAATAAACTTGAAGGTCCAGATATGTTTTGAGCACTAAGCTACAATTGCGTTTTGAGAAGTCAGTTTCAGCACTATAACCACTGTCATCACTGGTGTGTGGCATCTGGTGTGGCACTGGTGTGTGGCATCACATATGCTGGCATCTGGGCAGGTGTCAGATTTTTATTTGCAGATCAAGAGGTGTAGCATTTTCAAGTTTGCAGCATAGAAAGCTCTCATGGCTTCCTTTTAGAAGTCTGATGCATTCCTGGTATTCAGCAGGATGCTGATATTTGGTAGGAAAGTGATGCTATGATACAGAAAATGAAAGGCTAGGACAGTTCCTTCTGACTGTCTAATATGGCACATGGCTGGATGATGTGTGTTTTGGAAATGCAGCCAAATCTCTTGACAGCATGAGGACTTCAGCATACACCAAACATGAACTGTCTCTGTAGCAGACAAAATGAAAAATAATGCTGATTTTCACAATTCTGCTCCCCCCCCTTTTTTTTTTTTTTCAAATAAATGTTTTTCTCAATAGTGCAATAGTGATTGTACTATAGATACTTATGCATATGCAGAATATTTTATTTATGGTAGTAAATTTAAATATAAAACCATCTGTGAGATCATGCTCCAAACCAATACCTGAGTAAGAAAAGAGAGTCTGGCAGTACATGTAATGACAGAAATGAAATTAAATCAAATGAAATTAAAAGACAGGAAAGGAAAAAATAATGACATTAAATGAAATTGCAAAACCCTAAAATTCCTAAATGAAGTGAAAACAATTAAATGGAATTGGAATGACAGGAATGAGCTGAAACTTTACAAAATAATTTGTCATTGAAATCTTGAGATTTCTTTTCATGAAATGAAGGATTTTCTTCACATCAGGGTACCAATATTGCTCTCTTCTCACTTTTTGAATCTGGGCCAGCCACGGTCTATGGATCTCAGCAGCAGTGACAAGCTAGGTTCAGGTTAGGGTTCAGAGAGCTGCAGAGCCTACAGCTCCTGGGACAGAGACGTTCAAAAAGGCAGTGCAAGAGCATCAGGACAGGGTGGCAACATTGCTGACTCAACATTTTTTAGTCTGTGCCACCTATGGAGATGAGGAGCTCTGCCACAGTGCCAAGCTGCCATTAGGGTTAGGGCTGCTGTTAGGGTTAGGGTTGAGAGAGTAAAAGAGCCCACAGCTTCAGGAACACTGGGGCTGGAGAAGTCCTGCCAAGCCTGTTCCAGCATGGCCCCACCACTGCTTCTATTTCATCTTTCTAATCTGGACCACCCATGGTGATGGGCATCTCAGCTCCAGCCTGGGCCATCAGGCTTAGAGTAAGGGTTGAGAGAGAAAAAGAGCCTCCAGGCCCAGGAACACTGGGGATGGAAAACACATGCCAAGAGGATCATGGCAGAGCCACAACAATTCTGCCTCAACACCTTTCAGTTTAGGGCCATGCACGGGGGTGGGCACCTCAGCTGCAGCCCCAAGCTTGTTAAAAGGTTTGTGTGAAAAAAGAAGAAAATTCTGAAATAAAGTGAAAACAATTAAATAGAATACAATGAAATGAAGTGCAGTGAAATGAGCCAAAACTTCATTAAATAGTATTGCTTGAAATCTTGAGATTTCATTTCCTTTCATGAAATGAAGGATTTTCATTTCATGAAAAGAAATTAAATGAGAAATCAAGGAATGAAGGGAAATGAAAAGACAGGAAAGAAAATATAATGTCATGAAATGAAATTGAAAAAAATCCAACAATTCTGAAATTAGGTAAAAACAATTAAATGGAAAGGAAAGAAAGGAAGTGCAATGAAATGGGCTGAATCTTCACAAAATTATTTACATTGAAATCTTGAGATTTCATTTCCTTTCATGAAGTGACGTCATGACTGTTTTAAGCTCTTAAAATAAATTCCAAGTCAAACTAAATTTTGTTAGTTAAAATCAGGGCTGTCTGTTGTGGCCTTTTGAATGCCAAGTTGAGTAACTTCAGGCTTCTATAAAACCCCTCAAGAATGACAAGAATGAATGTAAATTACCATGTGATTATAGCTGTTTCTCCCCCACTCTTCTGAATTCACTTTCATTTAGTACAACTACATTCTAAATATTAAATATAACAATACCAGACTAAGGGAGACTGGCTGGAAAAGCCTAGGATACCTCTTTCAGTGATATGAATTTGATTTAGTAAGCCACAAAGATTTCAGTGGATGTTTATAGCTAAAGGAAAACATTAGGACAAGAATATTAAGAGACCCTTTTTTTCTCCTTTCAAAATTTTGGTTAACTTTTTTGGTTAACTGGTGTCAGTGGCAAGGTGTAGAAGTCACCAAGCCACCAAGACTCTAGGCACTTGGGGACATAAACTGTCTGTGGCTCTTCTGATGAATGAGTAAATTATTGTGATGTGTAAATGAAGGTGAGGAAGTGACTGAACACAGCAGATATAAAGCTCTTTTTATATGTTACCTTTAAATGCTTGGCAACAGGACATGTGCAAATAGCTCCTTCTCAAAAAAGCTAGAACAATGCAAGCATTATGGTTATACTGTGAATCTGACTAATCAAGATAATGTATGTATCCATGAGCACATTAAGTATATATATTTTTTCAGATATATTTCCTTGTTTCTGGAAGGTGGAATTTTGTTGCTCTGTTTTTCTGAGGTATATTTTTTAAAAATTGAGATATTGCTATATTTAAGGAAAAGTAAGAATAGTATGGAATTTGTAAACAGTCCTTTCTCTTCCTATTGACAATAGCACTCAGGAAATTGTGGTTGCAATTTAAATGGTTGAAGCTTTTACTACTAACCTGATTTGGAAATCTCTGTTTGAAAACCATGACAATTTTATTACACCACTTTGGTAAAAACTTAACAGCCAGACTACCTTGCATCTCCTTTTTCCCATCTAATGATGAGTACACATCTACAGTGTATAGTCACATAATTTCTAACATATATTTCACTCCCTTTTCATGCTTTATTTATAAAGTTATTGGTTTGGTGTAATTCGGTTTCTTTTGCAAACACTTATGCCTTAACACTTATTATTGAATCTTAAATATAAGTCAAAGAATTTTTCTTTGGACAGTGAAGATAATTAGGCTTTAGGGATCCCATACTGCTACTCTAGTGCCTCCACCATGTACCTACACTGCCTGACTTCCTGCCTTTTCTATGAGTAGATATCCTTCTATCATCTATACTTTCTGAATTTCAGAGGTTAAAATCTGTATTTAGCTTGATGCCCTACACCCACAAGTCTGCTTCAGAAAGAGATGGCTGATAAAGCTGGGAATATGTGTCTTCTCAAGGTCCTTGAACAAGTACAGAGATAGAAAGAAAGGAACAGATCTTTGTTGTACATCAAGTGGTACAAGACAGAGGAACTTAAAATATTCTGCAATAGACAAAGTAACCCCCCAAACAACACATTCACACCTGTTGTAGATTAATTTGTTCTTGAATATCATGCTTGGTATTGCTTTTTCTAAACAACAGTGTATGCCACACACTAGCTGAAGTAACTACTGACCTCATAAGATGGTCTGGACTAAAATTAATGCAATAAATAATTCTGAGAAACCATGCTCTAGTTGTACTACTGGTCGAAACACATGAACCCAGCCAAGCAGCTACAAATCTGGCAGGAGAGCAAACCACAAGTCTGGTGCTGCAGATAAGGGACATCTATCTTGTAGTCTTTGCTACAAGAAGGTGTGCCCGAGAAAGGAAATATTTGACTTCACACTTCTCAGAAGAAAGTCACCCTCTTTATAATGAAAGCTGTTGCTCTGTAAGATGTTGTCCTGGAAGCAGAGTTCACTCAGATTTGTGTCCCATAGCTGCCTCGGTGAATGCTTTTTGTGCCCTGTCTGTATGCAGGTACTCCCACCTGCACAGCAGTGCCCGGACAGCCCTTCCTGGCCTGGCTCAGCCATGGCGTGGTCAGCAGGAGCAGGGCAGTGACCGTCCCCCTGTACTGGGCACTCGTCGGGCTGTACCTCGAGTGCTGCGTCAACTTTTGGGCCTCTCAATCCAGGAATAACACTGAGAAGCTGGATCTAGTCCAGAGAGGGGCAATGGAGCTGAGGAAGGGTCTGGAGCACAGTTCCTGTGAGGAGCAGCTGAGGGAGCTGGGGGTTCAGCCTGGAGAAAAGGAGGCTCAGGGGGGACCTCATCACTCTCTGCAACTGCCTGAAAGGAAGGTGCAGCCAGGCGGGGCTGGGCCTCTTCTGCCAGGCAACAGGTCATAGGACAAGAGGACATAGCATCGAGCTGCATCAGGGCAGGTTTAGGTTGGACATCAGGAAAAATCTCGTCACAGAATGGGTAATTAGACATTGGAATGGGCTGCCCAGTGTGGTGGTGGAATTACTTTCCCTGGAGATGTTTAAGGAAAGACAGGACGTGGGACTCAGCGCCGTGGTCTGGTTGACAAGACAGCGTTCATACACAGGTTGGATTCGATGACCTCAAGAGGTGTTTTCCAACCTGATTGATTCTGTGGTTTTGTGACTCCCTCGGCTGTCCCCGCCGCCGCCTCAGTGTCTTTTGTGTCACGCCTGCCTCCGTCTCCCGCAGCGACCGGACTCCCCCAGGGCATCCCGCCCAGCTGCTTTCCCTGGGAGAGACCCCAGCGCGGGGCTCCTCTGCCTGGGCACGAGATGAGGAGACCACTGCTCTAACACAGCGCGGCAGGGCAGCCGCACATCTGTCTCTAGCGGGGCAACGACCGGTCTCCGTGGGCCCGGGGCAGGCGGTGCGCCGGAGCTGAGGGGGAGCAGCTGAGGGGGAGCAGCAGCGGCGGCAGCGGCGGCGGCCGTGAGGGGGAGCGGGGCCGGGGCGGGGCTTCCCGCGGGGACGGCACAACTCGCGGGGTTTGGCGGCGGCGCCATTTTGAATTGGCTGAGGGTCGGAGGCGGCGGATACCGAGCAGGGTTCCGCGTCCCCCGAGGGAGAACCCGCGAGGAAGGAGCGGATATGGCCGCGAATAGGAACTTGAAGCAAGTGCGGATCGAAAACAGCTCGCCAGCGGTGCCGCTGGGCATGGTGGGGGGCGGCGGCGGCGGCAACCTGAAAGGATTGCGCGGCCTAGAAGGGGAGAGTGAGGCGGCGGCGGCCATGGCTCTGGTGCCGAGCAAAGAAGGTGGCGGAGATGAGGAGCAGGAGGTTGGGTTCACCATCGATATCAAGAGCTTTCTCAAACCTGGCGAGAAGAGCTACACGCAGCGTTGCCGGCTGTTCGTGGGGAATCTGCCTACTGATATCACCGAGGAGGATTTCAAGCGCCTTTTCGAGCGCTACGGGGAGCCCAGCGAGGTCTTCATCAATCGGGACCGTGGCTTCGGCTTCATCCGCCTGGTGAGGATCCGGGCGGACCCCTGGGGCTGCCCCGTCACCCTGGGGCGTCTCTGAAAGCGGGAGGCTTCGGTCCCTTGCCCCCCGCCGCCTTCCCCTCCATTTCGGCGGGTGTAAAAAAAGGCACCATCTGCTTCTCCTCCTCCCTGCTAGCGCAGTCCCCCCGCCTCTTCCCTCTTTCTCCTCCCGTGTTCGCCTCTACACATCCGAGCCGAACCTCTGCTTTCAGAGTAATCCTCTCAGCCCCTGGCGTTTCGGTCCCCGTCTCGTCCCATGGCACTTAATACAGTTAATTTTAAAGAATGGGCAGGATTGTTTCGAAATACAGCTGGTCGCACATCGTGAACGCGGAACAAAATTACGGAATTTAAAAGGTTGCGGACCGCGGGTTATTTAAATTACTTGTGCCCAGATAAGACGAGATTTTTAGGGTTAATACAGTATTTGATTTAACATGCTCGACTTAAGCATGCAAAAAACCGAATAATTCGAAAAGTTTATGATACTGTATTTAAATGTTATGCAAGATTAGTTTTCACGATTGCTCTGTTTAAAATGCACAGATTTTTATCATTCTGGGAATAGATTTAGAGTGCTTTAGGTATTTAGTCATGATTTTTCCATATATTTTACTGGGTAGGGTTTTTTCTCTTCGGTTGTCGTCTTAAAATACTTGTGGCATTCTGCCACGCATCTTTTACCCTGAGAATTCCCCGTCCTGAAATAGCAATTTTATGGAGGAAGTGAGATATACTTACATCTCGTTACTCATTTTTGGCTGTAATAGAAATTAGAGTTTTTATGTGAACTTCTCTTTTTCATTACGTTTAGGGAATAGCTATATATATATTTTAGCAGCTTGCCTACCCAGTTGAACTGTGAAGAAATATATAAAGAATTTCCTTAAATGTCAGGGATTGCAGGTTTCAAACGTGGTGAATATTTTTGAAGTGAGAAGAAAGGTTGATTTACACTGTCTCATGGATATGGGTGCAGAAAGCCCATTCATGTGAGACGAATGAATAGATGAGCAAAGCAGGTAATTTCATAATTTCTTGATGAATGTTGAATTGGACATCCATTGAGAGCAAGTGCGATATTTTCACCTATTTAAAAGCAAAACAAAAACCCAACCCAAAATACCTTAGATCCTATAGGGTAATGTTTGAATACTGTTTCCTGCTGCTGGGAGCTAACGATGCAGAATATAAACATTTGAGTAGGTAAACGTGAAAAGCATCAACTTTCCAGCTTTACTCAAAACCTTTATAGAGCAGCAGCATCATAATGAGAATTTGTTAAATCTTCTAATGTGCAACAAAAAATTTACTCCTGTGTTGGGTTTAGAATAAATAAACCATAGGGGGTAATGAATGCATATTTTTTTGTTTTCAATTAGAGGACAGGGACCTTGTTGGTTTGCTTGTTGTTTTTTTTTGTTGTTGTTGGTTTGGTTTGTTTTTTTGACTGAGGGGGAAACAAGTTGAATGATCCTGGTGCCAGTATGCTCAAGTGAAGGAAAATGAGTTTGCTACTTTTCGGGGAGGGCACACAAAAGTGATACTTACTGTCTTTGAAAAGAAAAGATATAAAATATTTTATATTTTTATAAAGGAATCCAGGACCCTGGCTGAAATAGCAAAGGCAGAACTTGATGGTACTATTTTGAAGAGCAGACCACTTCGAATTCGATTTGCTACACATGGAGCTGCCTTAACTGTAAAGAATCTGTCACCTGTGGTTTCCAATGAGCTGCTGGAACAAGCATTCTCGCAATTTGGGCCCGTGGAAAGAGCGGTTGTTGTAGTTGATGACCGCGGCAGAGCTACAGGGAAAGGTTTTGTAGAGTTTGCAGCAAAACCTCCAGCACGGAAAGCTCTAGAAAGGTGCAGTGATGGGGCGTTCTTGCTTACAACGTAAGTTCACAGATTTTTGTTTGATTTTGTGAGTATATCTTCCTGTTGTGAGCAAAAATTGCATTCATGGTGTTCCCTAGTTCTTATTTTGTTTTCAAATTCTGAAAGCCATGAGGTTAGAAATTTAAGTGTTTTGCATGAATACCACAAATACTCTTGATTTCTTTTAAGAAAACCATCTTTCTCTGCTTACTGTTTATAAGATTTCTTACTACCATATGAGAGTCTGAGAGCAAAATTCTGGATTTTTTTCTTGTTCATATGCAGTATTACTTTTCCTTCTCTGTATAATAAGGCATTTTCTGTTGAGATTTTATTTTCATTGATTGCACTCTTCCTGATCCGAGTAACAAAGTGACAAAATAATATTCTTTGTTTCTTAACAAATCAGTGCGTCACATTGATATTTCTGTAGACTAAAGAAAGTGTTCATATCCCAAAAATTATCTGTGGCTTGTAAGGCCAGGATTGTCTCACTGTTTTAAAATGAAGACTGAGATTCTGAAGAGGTTTATATGCTTGATGTTTGGAAAACAATCTATTTCAAGGACAAGCAAGCTTGCAAATAGCAAGCATCTCCTATTTCTGTACTTGCCAAAGAGAGTTGTTAATTGCTGTACTTTACACAGTCACAAGTGACATTTTTAAATGCTTTCTTAAAAAAGGTGTGAAATGATACATATTTATGATTTATTTTTATTTCTGTGATTCTCATTGGGAAAATAAGGCTGTGATTTTGCAGTTCTTTTCCTGCCCTGGCTGTGCTATTCTTGAACTTCATGACACTTCCATGAGCCACTTGTGCTTGCTAAAATAACAGAAAAGCATTCATTTCCATGGGGGGCCATTCCAGTCTCTTCAAGCTCAGGAATGTGCTTGATAATGTCAGGCCCAGCAGAGAATAAGGCAGGAGAAAATGCTGCCAGAAGTTGGCAGGTGAGTAAGGGGTCTGGAGCTCCAAATCCTGTGTGCTATTGAATTGATTTGATGGTTACATAGTAAATTCAATCTGACTACATCTTTACTGTTTCTGGGAGGTGCCAGCAATTTGTTCCAATTCCCAGGGTTTTCTTGGCATTAGTAACGTAATGGAAGCCCGGTGAGCCAAACAAGAGAAGTAATGTAGTTCAGTGTTCCATTAGTGCTGTTCTTGGCATGAGAGATGTGGCAGGGAAAAAGAAGCTGGGATATGAGGGGAGTGTATTCTTGTTTTGCCAGCTAGATAGATCAGTTGTATTGAAATGACCATGTAACCATGGCCTGAGTGAATAAAGAGCACTTGAGCACTTACTTGCTTAGGTGAAATGTTCCGTAATGCGTAGATAATTAGTATGAATCTGCTGCCATCTACTTCGATGTTCTGCTTCAGAGTCCTAAGTTTTACCTTTTAACTGAAAACTTTTTGCCTAATCAGAACATCTTCCAGGTCCTGTTTAAATGTATCAAAACGAGACATTCAAAATTAGGGTTTTAACATTGTTCTTTTACATCATGACTTGTTAACACCACGGTTCAGTTGCATTTAAATAGCAGAACTGTCAGCAATTTAAATGCAGATGGCATCAGAAAAAACAGTTGCTGTGTTGTGGCCTTTGATTCTGGACTTCAGTGTGAACTTGGTGCACAGAGTAAAATATGTTGCGGGTCATTGGTTTGGTTGTTTTTTTTTTCCTGATGAGAGACTGGGGCAGTAGGGGAAGGTCTACAAAGTGAAATAAAGGCATGGAACACAATAAAAGAGTGCTGGTGTTTTGAAAATAATGCACAGAAAATGTTCTGTGTTTTGTAAACTCTGCTCCCAAGACTGATGCAAAGAGCTTTTTATGCAATTCAGAGTTTTTACACTGCTCTCTTTGGCTCATACTTGCCTCTGGTTACTACATATCAAGGAAGCTGTTTTCAGCTTTTCAGTTAGGATTCTGATTTGTGACTATGTGGTTGTTCAAATAATGGATTTTAAATAACTTATACACAAATGTTTTTTCTAATTCTTGCTGTAATATTAATACCAAATTATCAAGCTGTTTTCAGTTGTAGAGTAACTTGCAGAAGAACTAAGTTGTAAGAAGTCAGTAGAAATAGGAATAGGTTGTGCTGCTCTGTTTTGGGTATGTTGCTTTCCCAGTACGATCATGGCCTCTGTGGTACCTCTGATATAAACAGAAAGGTAGGTCCTTCCTATGTATTTTGTAATTATTGGTAGATGGTTTTGGTATTTTAAAATAGCAAGCAGAACTGTGTCAAGTAAGTTGAGATTTCTAGGCAGAATAGCTGAATTTGGCCATTAAAACAATTATTAAGGTAATTCTTAAGACTGGGATTCATTGGAATTCTGTGATTTAAGACAAGACACAGGAATTACATGTTAACTTTCTGGAGTGTTTCTTCAAAATGCTAAAATAAGTTGTAACTGCTTCTTTAATGATTCAGTTATTAAATTGAAAATGTTTTCCAGAACACCTCGACCTGTTGTTGTGGAACCAATGGAGCAATTTGACGATGAAGATGGACTCCCTGAGAAACTAATGCAAAAAACACAACAGTACCACAAGTAAGTTGTGGTTAGCCTTTTTTTATAAAACATTACTTATGTACTTAGTTATCTTTGTAAATATACACTGACTTTTATTTTGAGTTTGTGCAGCAGGAAGTGGTGCTTTTTGTATGTTGTGCTGTTTTGTGTCAAAGGATTAAACAGGACCTTCCCAAATTTCCTAATCATGGTAAAATTCAGGCTTGGCTTGTTAGTCTAAGAGTTTAGTGTAATAGAGATTCTTGGCCTACACTGCAGTCAGTGGGAGCTTGTTGCCAGCAAACTATAGTAATTTATGGATTAGGGGTGTGGTCTAATCCTGTTGAGATTTTGAATACCCACAGATCTTTATGTTCTCTGAATAGCCCTGTAACTGTTTGCAGCCTCCCTGGTGTGTAAATCTTTGCAGCTTCCACTGTTGAGGTAAAACTTTGTGCATGACATGAGAAAGTGAATCATGAGACAGAGGTCCCCTAATCTGAAAATACTAATTTTTAATATTGTAATTTGCCATTTATGTTGCTTGAATCTAAAATGTTTATTTTGATAAGACTGTAGAATAATACTTAACAATTTGTCACTGTTAGGTACAATATTAGTGTTAGAATGGGAAATGTGGGCTCATTTAATGTTTACGGATTCTGGCTAATATTCTGGGCTGTCTAGTAGGCATTGACACATACTTAAATAACTGCTTGATTTAGAAAGCTGAACACTGTTAATATAGTGTTGCAGCTTAGCATTTTGTATTGATGTCAATACAAATTTTTATCTTAAAATTAAATAAATTGAATATTTATTTGGGCAGTTTTTGGAAAATTTTTATTTATTGTAATGTCTGAGTTAAGCTTTGTCTGGTTTAGAATGTAGTCATCTGACAGGTTGGTAAAAAGCTAGATCTACACTTGAAGTGATTGTGTGTATGTTCTCTGGCAGTTACAGCTGTTGATCTAAATGTGTCCTTCTGTACATTTTTACTGCAAAATTTTTATTAGGGAAAGAGAACAGCCTCCACGCTTTGCTCAGCCTGGCACATTTGAGTTTGAGTATGCTTCACGGTGGAAAGCTCTTGATGAGATGGAAAAGCAGCAGCGTGAACAGGTTGATAGGAACATTAGAGAAGCCAAAGAGAAACTTGAGGCAGAAATGGAAGCAGCTAGACACGAGCATCAGCTAATGCTGATGAGGCAAGGTAAAACCAGATCATCTACCAGTATTGAATTGTTGTGTCACAGATAATTTTTTTTTTTTACTATATAGCATATTGAGCTGTATACTTGGACATTTGTCTGGTCACCATTTAATGAAGTGCATTTAACTGAGCAAAAGGAAGGAATACTTCTCTGTGCACATATTTCTTGATGATTTGCAGAAATTAATTAAGAATCTGATAAAGAGGTGATTGTCTAAGTCTGTTTTCTTCACTTCCTAAATTTATCTTTAGTAAAAAGTTTACTTAGTCTGTTTTTCCTGAATAGGCACATGTACTCCCAGTGTGAAGCCGTGCTGTTTTTATAAGGTCTTGTACTGAGCAGAAGGTCTTGTGCAGAAGATAATAACATAAAAGCATACCTATATAATAACATGAAAAGCATAAGGTCTTATACAGAGTGTAATAGCATAGAAAACTGCTTTGAAATGCCAAATAGATGCTGCAGCACCTGAAATGACAACTGTTTCTTGGTTAATTTTCCAAGAAAAACAGTTGAAGCATTATGCTTCCTTGTAAGCACAGGTGTATATTAGAGGTGAGGAATGTGCATGTTAATATGATCCAAGAATGCTGCTGACAGCCCTCCTTCAGCAGTTAGACACAAACTGTAATTTTGTGTGTATGCGTGACTGAGATTTGTAAAGATGGTTCAGTGCTTAAGTTACAGGTTGGCTAAATCTACTGTTGACTTAACTAACTGTTAATATTTAACAATGCTAATTGTATAGTTCCAGAACTCATGCTCTTTAATTTCCTTTGAATTTATTCACCTGTTGCCTGTACTTGAGGGCAAGGTGAGAGATTACTTTCTCTTACATTCATGTCTTAATTATGTGTTAAACTGAGACAAGATTACAGTGGCCTCTTCATTAAGATAGAAAAGCACTTAATGGAAAACATCAAGTTTGATGTGTTTTTGGATAGTAGAGGTTTTTTTTAAGGACAACATGAAGGAAAAGATACTCTGCTTTTTGAATATTTGTTTAATGTCAGCTTTATATGAAAAAAGAGAGAATTATTCCTGCCATTAGAGAGCCACTAAAACATGAAAGCATGTGCTACTACTATTCTAGTGAGAAAATATGTTTCTTTTAGCATATGAGGAGGGCTTTTCCCCTCACAGTTTGGTTAGCAAAGTACCTCTTTCGTATCAGATAACTCAGAATTTTCTTAAGACAGATTTCTTCTTAGTTATTTGCCAACACTTGATTTTCAGAGCTCTAGAGATTAGTAAGTATTCCTTCTGTTTTAGTCTTCTCAATTCTTCAGCATGCATGAAAATAAGGTGGTAATTTCACTTGTACTTCTTTTCAAATTAGCTTCCTCTTGTTATTCTGAACAGTGTGGACCTAAGTTCATGCCATGCCAAGAATATTGATTATATTAATTGCATCACAGGATTGTGTAGAAAGATGCAATGAAGTTTCTAAGGAACCAGAACCTAGAATTAATACTTTTGTATCCCTGGTGCATGAAGTCAAAGATATATTGAAGTCATTATGAAATAAAATGTAAAATGTCATGTTTTAGTTGTGTAGGAGTTAAAAAGAAGATAGGATGAAGGATGAGCTTACTGGTCCATATACTCTAGCAAGTGAAGGTTGTGTTAAAACATGAGAGCTAGTAGGACTGGAACTCCAGAACATGTTGGTTTGAGTACTCAGTTTTTTGTGCTGTGATATTAATTCTGAAGGTAGATTTAATTCTTTTGGTATGCGCAATTTTTCACTTTGAAGTGTCATATTTTGACAGACTGAATCAGAAGTAATTTGTAAAGCAGAATACATATTTCCATGTGTAAGTAAATTGCATGGTATTTCTGATGTATGTACTGGTGGTATGCATCAAACATTTGTAAATATTCTCTCATAATGATGGTTAAATATATTATGAAAATACTGGAAAATGTGACTGAATTTAAACAGAAGCCTAATTTTACATCAATTATATGGAAACCTGGCATTTGTTTTTCATCTTTAGAACATGAAAAATCAGCAGCTAAAACTGCTTTAAAGTCTTTTGGAATTCCAGCTTGTAGGATTTACTTCTGAGGTGAGGGAACACCTTCACCTTCTGCTGTCTGCTATGTAGGAGGTTGAAGGTAAAACAAAGCCCTTGCCCTTTTACAAGCACAAGAAAGTGCAGAGGCTAATAATAATGCTTTCTGTTTGTTTTCTTTAAAAAAAAAAAATCTGCTTTAGTGCAGATTTTTTCTGTTCACAGAAAGGGCCTGTCAATCAAGAATTACCATCATTACAGGTCTTTTAATATGAATGGCTCTTGTATAGAGTGTGTACCTCTATTTCTGTGTTTCCATCTGGCTTAGTAAGGCTTTCTGCCAAGATACTGAATCATAATTTGCTATATTGTATTTTTAATATGTTAACAATTTCCAGAAAGGCAATAAACTATGCTATGGGAAAAAATAGGAGAACAGTGAGAAAAATAGAGAGCTACACCTTAAGAGCAAAGGACAGAAAATGATAGTGGTAGAGAGAAAGTAGGAAATCCTGGTCCTGTGTGCACAAGAAATAGGCAATGCTGTATAAGTTTGGAAGAATAAAGAACTGAAAAGGAAACATCTTAGCCCACAGTGGATAGTGTTGTGTACAAGTTTGAGGAAACTGATTTGCATAACTAAAAAGATATTTTAATTAGTATAGTGGAGAAATGCATAGATAAAATGTGCAGAACAGTTGAACTAAAGCATAAAAGGCATGCAATGGATGGTATGGGAAAATGTTGCTTGTGGTTTCTATAAATAATGTCATGTTTATTTAAACAATAAAAAAACGTGCTTTCTAACAAATGGTAAAATTATTATTAATTGAAGAAAGCATAAATTTCCAGGCAGAAATCAATAATGTGACTGGTCAGCAAAAGTAATTACTGTGAGTTATGCCCTGCTTTTTAAGGGCATTTTAAGTGCTTCATAGGAGGCTATGGCTGTACCTTTTTTGTGAGGTTGAAAGAATAGTAATTTGCAAGTTGCTGTAAGCAGTGTCATGACAGATCTTCATGGAGGTTCAGACTTCATGCACCTGAAGTTCATATGGCTTCTCTTTCTCTGATGTGTGCCATGTAGAGGTCTGCAGCAGGTAGTGGAGAGCATAAAAGTCCATAAATATTGTAGTGGTTTTCTTAGTAGTGTGACTTTAGCAGTGTACAGCATTGTGAGAAAATTGATGCCATGTCCTAGATGTAAAACCAGGATATGATTTAAGGGATTGAGAGTTTTTTTTCCTTTGCTTTGAGAGCTTGAAATTTCTGTTTCCATAACCTGCTTTGGAGGCGTTGCCCATTTTGTACCTTTCTATGTTTGTAAGCCACAGATCCAGTATTTTTTTCAAATACTAGACTTAGCTTTATGGAAAGAGATGAGTTAAATGCATTGAAAATTTGGTTTAAAAACTTGAATGTTAGAATTGCAATCTGACAGTAATAATTTTTGTGTTGCCACATGGTTGATTGGCAGCTTTTATATTTAAATGCACTTTTAATCCTGCTAGATCTCATGCGTCGTCAGGAAGAATTGAGGCGCTTGGAAGAACTTCGAAACCAAGAACTTCAAAAACGCAAGCAGATACAATTGAGGTATTTTGTCTTCCACTGTGCAGAGGTGTGGCCACTGTGGGCCTGCATAAATTTAGATATGTTAGCTAAACTTGCTTCTCAAAAGCATAATGTGTGATGTTTCTGATAATATAATGCAACATAAAAGATTGTTTTCAAGTGTTGCTTGATTTTTTTACTTATTTCAGGTCTGCTAGTTTTGTTGTAAATTTCTGAGATTTCTAAATAGTATAGAAATGTCTTAGCCTATTTTTTTGTTTCATTTTTATTTTAACATGACTGAAGCATTGCTGTAATAGATAGGAACATGCTTCTAAATTTTATGGGCAGGCGATTTGCATGAAGAATCATAGCATCAAACATATTCTGGTATGTTGAAAACAATTTTTCTTTTAGGATTTGATTTATGCAAATAATTGTTTTAATGCCTCTTCTAAAGTTTAAGAAAATAGACCTGGTCTCATCATATTGATTTATACTTTTTGTTAAATATCACAATAAATGTCAGAAAGATAAAAGGAACAGTACAAACACATCTCAGAATTAAAAAACATGTCTTTTGGCACTGTTGAAATGTTTTAATCCATAGTGGCTTCTTAAAAACTGGAATATTTTAACCTGTTTATTGATATATAGCTGGAAGAGTACATATAGAATTGTATTGGTTTTGAAATTACTTGTACTCCAGTAAAAGAAAAACAAACCAAAACTTCAAAAGTACTCAAACTCATCAAGTTGAGTAGACTAGTGCCTTGCACTATGTAAAAAGTAAATCATGTCCAATTTTGTTTATATGCTTGATCTTACCTCCGAGGCTGAGTGCAAGCCTGAACAGATCAATAGACTAAGCTGACATAATTTTGAAAAATATCCTAGACATGAAGAAGAACACAGACGTCGTGAAGAAGAGATGCTACGCCAGAGGGAACAGGAGGAATTACGACGACAGCAGGAGGGAGGATTTAAACCAAATTTCATGGACAATGTAAGTACAATTCTATGGTGAAAGTCCAAATTGCAAAATAATTTTTTCATTACATTATTTTTATACTAGTTATTGAACTGGCATCTTCGTGTTGGCTGTTTTCACTTCAGTATTTTCATTGTTCCCCTGAGTGAATTGCTACATACTCAGTAGTGTAGTTACTCTTTCATATGATGACATCACTCTTATTTTTCCTACAAGCTGGTGATGTAACACTTCTCTTAAGTGAAGGTGTTCAGATACTAATTTTTTTTACTTGGGAATTGAAATGTTTCTGTAAAATAGTTTTTCTAAGTGGGAGGTGGTAGGAATCACCCATCCTGATGTGCCCTACCCTGCCTTAAGGTTTAAATTTTAAACCAGTTCATGCTGCTAAGATTGTTTGAATTACTGGTTTTGATTTATGCTTAATTTATTAAGAAAGTTTTTAGAAACAAAAAGGGCAATATTAATTTCATATGGAATGTAAAATCACTCTCCCTTTTGACCCTGCTTAAAGGTAGATGAGGAGAACATCCAAATCATTACTAAAGGAGATTGAAAGACTATAAAAGTGAGGGGAAATTTGTCCTCGCTATAATCTGTACATTATTTATATTAGTAATTTAGGTATGCCTCTGAAGACTCATCCTGCAGGACTAACAAAATGGTGCTATCAGAGGAGTCATATTGTAAATTATTTTGGTCAAAGGGTATGACTTTTCTCTACTGACCAGATCAGTTCAGTGAATGCAAACTATGTTGCAAATGCTATAGTTTCTCTTGAGTACAATACCTTTTACTAGTGCAGCTATTCCTAGTGAGGAAATAATGAATAAGCAATTCAAACAATGCTCTTTTACATTATTAACACAACTGTAGTGTGCAGGAGGGGATTTTGCTCCCCTTCACAGGTCCAACTTCACACATCAATCAGAAATGAACTGCTAGTTTCTCAGCTATTCCCGTGGAAGGAAAACCTGGTTTACATTCTATACCATGAAATTTTCTATAGGGTTGCAAAGAATTTATTATGTATGTTCTGAGACATCCTGAGAGATGTTAGAAAATAAATGGTTTTCTGTTCTCAGCAAGACATTTTTCCCCTCATCTGCCCTTAGTGTTTTTAGTAAAGATGGGGAGGAAGCAAAATAGTTCCTTTGATTTTTATTAAGAGGTGCAATTTGTTTTTGCTCACTTTGTTTTGAGGGACTTGTGTGCAAAAACAGATGGTAATTTAATTCCATATGTTCTCACTCTAAAAGAAAACTGCTTTCAGTACATCTTTTCTTCAGGGAAATGAAGACCAAGAATTCAGAATTCATACTGTCCTTTAGTGTGTTCCAAATATTACTAAACATAATTGGGGAAATAGCATGTAACAGTCGTCTCATGTAATTTAGAAATAGCGCTTACTGATGACTCTATAGTGCCAAATGTGAAATTTCGTATCACTTAATGTAGCATCTTTGGGGTTGCCTGACTTTCTGACCCTGTAAGCTGCTTGTCAAATCCTCCTGGCTCCTCTGTGAGACCCGTGCTTCTTGCTGCAGAGAGCTGCAGTAATAGCAAGCTGGCGAGCCAACCCGAAGCTGTGGGATGGCAGTAGCTCCCTCAGATTCCATTGCTGTTAGGAAGTTGTGGCCTGTATTCTGCAGCTTGGAGTGGGGAAAACTAGATAATATTGGCCACTACAGCCTTTACTGGTTTATTTTTACATCTGTCTTGAGATAATAATATTTAGTTTCTGTGCTTAAATTGCTTGCCACAGTTTGTTCATCCTTGTTGCTTATCTACATTTTTAAATTCCAAACCCTATATGAATAGAAATTGTTAAAGTTGTTGTGCTGGACTTGGCAAAAATGTAGGATGAGAAGGGAAGAAGAGTGGTTCAAATGGAAAGCATTTCAATCACTATGCATAATTTTTATTACTTTTATACATCAAATTCTTTGGAGGTGAAAGGTGGAAGACTGCTTTGGAAGAGTGTAGCTTTTCCACTCTCATGCATTACTGAAATTGTGTTTATCTGGACCTAATTAATACACTGCAAGAATATATAGATGTAATTTTGCAGTAACGATCCAACCAAAAATGTTTTAACTTATATTTAAAGGACTATATAGTACAGGTATTTTTTTTTAAACATCATATGAAATTGAAGTGGCATATACAATGATACATGAAAATATGTAGTCTCAGGACTAGCCTTTAGTATTCTGGTTATGTCTTGACTTAGGTTTTACTTCTAATGCTCTTTAAAAGAGGAAAAATGGAAACAAAATGGCAAGTGATGTGTTTACTTTCTTTAGCAACAGTTTCTAATCAGGGCAGTTGTGTGGCTGAGCATGCCTATCATTTTATAAATGCTTGTTTTAAGATGTTTTTAGATAACTGTAGGTATAAAGTGTGAATGGGAATTGAAAAAGCCTTTGCATTTTGCAGCAGAGTAAAACTAAGGCTCTTCTGGAGATTGCAAAATGACACATAAAATCTGATTTCAACTTAGAATTTCTTATACAACTAATAAATTTTTATTTGTTTTTACTAATACTCGTTTACTGTGAACAGATTCCATCTTGCACTTACTTCTACTCTCAGATACCACTGTACATATATTGAGAAAGTGATTCTCTATTTTCAGAAGCTGAAAGTTGACTCTTGGTGAGAATTGCATTTTTTGATGCTGTTGGATACTTTTTTACCTTATCAAGTCTTGATAAACTCTTCCGGAATTACACTTAAAACATATTGAAATCTTCTCCCAAAAATGTATTTAGAAGGACAATAATAATTGTTTCTAATCATTGTTTTTGTTTCTTAAAAGCTTTGAAAAGTAAGCTTCCTTCACTTATACCCTCTCACTTTTTTCTGGTCAGTCTAAAACAGGAAGATAAATGGTAAGTGCAATGGCAACCACAGTTGGACCCTCTCATGTAAGGCTGCAGTATTAGGCTTTCCCATTGAAAGTTTCTATCTGTATCTTTTCCCTAACTCATTAAACTTGGATTTTTAAAAAATATAACTACTTTTGAAAGACATCTTGTAATCAAGTTTAATGCAGCTAGCAGCTACTTGATTTTGATAGATGATAACAATATTTTCTGTGAGAGGATTTCTTTTCCTGAAGCTTTGTTGTTGCTGGTGATGATGAACATTAGGAATTCGATTGCATTGATTGTTTATCTAATGGGCAGCCTGGTGATGCTTAAACAATTTATTAATATAGTTGTGTGATCTCTACTAGATACATTATGAATTAACACTTTCATATTGTTTAGGGTTTTGCCCTTCCTTTCTAAAAGTCAGTTAGTTGAAATGTGCTGTTTTAGCTCAGTAATTTATATGCATTCTGATTTCACAGTAACTTAATTGGGGAACTATTTTTCCAGTAGTATTTTGCTAATTTTTGTTTTGCATACATTCTTCTGGCTGAAAGAGGAACTTGATGATGGTGATTTATTTTGCAATGGCAGAAATATTTTTTAAATAGAAAATACTTCTGAGTGCCAGTAATACATTAATTACTCAGACATGTAGTGGTTATTATCCAGTTATGGATGGCTTGCTTTGATTTACATTGTTGAATCTCAATCACAGGCATTCTACAAAATAATTCTTGTTCCAAGACCTGCTTTTATTTGTGTCAGCAACTTAGTGTCTTGGATTTAGTGTATTAAAATAGTTTCTACGTGTCTAAAACAGAGACCAAAAATATGTAAGAGTTGGAGTCCTGGTTTTGTGTGGATGGATTTACTTCTGTAGTAACACTGTGAAATAGTGTTGGGTGGGTATAGTACTTAGTGAGACAATAGCTGCAATACCAGCCTTAAACTTAACCTCTATTCTTAATGGTAGTTTGAAGAGGGAATTGAGATTTTGGACATCCTTGCCCACTTCCCTCCAAGGAAAACCCCTTTTTGAATGTGTAAGGGGCTGTTTCCTGAGTGTTCATCAGTTTCAATTTCTGAATACTTGCTGTTTTTTTCATGTAAGACTTAGTACATTAAATATTTTTCTTCTGAATCTCATAGTCTTTTCAGGAATTATTTCTAGATGTTGTTTTGCTTTCCTTTAGTTTTTCTTGCAGAAGCATTGCTCTCAAATATGTTGAGTAATTATCAGCATAAAATGTCAGCTCCTAAAGCAGTGCAGATGCTTCAAGAGCAGGGATTGTAGTGGACTTGGATCAAAAACTGTAAGACAGATAAGAGCAAGAAGGTAAAAAAACATTGCAGAATAGCAATGATGTTTATAGCTTCAGGAATGCCATTACAACACAGTTTTTGTTCTAAGAGTTTGGTCCTTTGGAGCAGTTTATAAATGTAATTTTCCATTTCTCACTGTTTGGAGCCCTTTTGAGGCATGTTTTATCCCTCACTTCTAAGTTCACTTGCAAGTTAAGCATTAGGCATATTTTAAACAAGACTGTCAGTTAGATTTCCTTGAACTTCAGTAATTCAGGACTAGATTTTTGCACTTCTTGCCTGTTTAAGTTAATAGAACTGTATTTTGATCCTATCTTCTCATTGTGCTCAAAAGCTCCAGTAATGTAAGCAGTTGGAATTCTCACTGAATGGTAAATTGTTTCTTACCTAACTCTAAACGAAGACAGATTCCCTGTCTTAATAATAAATTAATGAAACGTTTCTAAGAATATTTTCAAATTTTATAAGTTTTCTAACAATTAATGTTGGTTATCTTATCCTGACAACCTCGTATACTTGATGAAGCTAACAGTGGTGAAGTTGTGTGAGTTTGTATGAAAAAAATCTCAGTTTCTTGCTGCTTTATAAAAGCTCTTCTGTAGAGCATGATTGGGCATGATGAATTGGAATACAGTCTGGTATACATAGTTCATGTGTGACACCTTAAAGGCTTTTTAAGGTAAAACTGACTTGGAAAAAGACAAATCATAAATGCACCAACCTGACAAAATACTCCTGCTGTTCTTGGCAGTGGTTTTACTTCAGTGATCAAGTTTCTTTCTATGCATAAATCAACATAGGGGAGACCTTTGAGCAAGCATTCTATAAATAAGCAGTTTGTGGTTTTGTGTGCAGTCCTAGTTCTGGCCGTAACACTAAATTATGTTTATTTTTTCATGAGTGATACACATCAGTAGACAGATTCTTAAGTCATGCATTTCTTCTGTTCCTTGGTGTTTCAGATGCTAAATTTGTGGCTTTGGGCAAAAATAATACTTCCTTAACAAGCCTTAAATTATTCAATTTATATTATTTTCAGCAACTAAATAAATTATTTTCAGCTTTTAATTACATTGTCAGGTAGAAAAAACTATTTAACTGTCATATCTGCTTTTAGTATGAAAAGACATTGCATGAAAATGAATTCAGATCTTCAGTTTATCTTTTTGTAACATATTATGTGCTTATATCCATAAATGAAGGTGTTTGTGGAATAAGTTCTTTTAGTTGTATTTCATTAATATTTTAGGATGGTTCATAATTGATTTTCTATGTCATGTCTTTATGTATGTCAAGGATGCTACTTAATGATTCAGTAACAGAGAAAGCAATTGTTACAATCATATATTTAATTTATAACTATATTTCTGTATGTATGAACTGTGAATATTTAAGCAATGTGATATTTTTTGTATTATATTTAGGACACTAATCCTTTGCTCTGTTGCAGTCATCTTCTAACATTTGCACAAAGCGGTTTGGAAAATACTAATGTGCTTTACGTGAACTCACAAATAGAACAAGTGACTATTTACAAGTAATTTTTATACTTCAGCGTGCTGTCAAATGTGCAGTAATCTCCAATATGAATTTAGGTGTTGTGGTACTGCTTTTAAGCTTCCCAAATTTGTTCTTTTTTACCGTAATTGATAGAGATTTTTTTGTCTGTATTCTTTAGATTATCTGGTTTTGTTTATAACATTACTTTCTCTCAGTAATGACGATCAAGAAGCTAAAATAACACTTTCCAGATGCTGCTTACGTAATGGTAAAATGACATTAGTTGTTGTTTGTCTCAGTGTTTCATGAGGCCTCAGCTGCAGCAGAGGCCATTTTTATTTAATTAGTGATAGAAAGACCTCAAATGCATCTGTGCTTGTTTATAGAATACTCCATTTGCATACTTAACTTTTGCTGTTTTATAGATAAGAATGAAAAAATCTAATCTAGAGCAGATTTTATACGTCTATATTCTATATTTTACTATTATTTCTGAAAATTGTTGCTGCTCACAATTTAAATGAAATCTTCTTATTCAACTTAAATCACTCAAATAGAGTTCTTCAGTTTTTCATAATCTGACAAGCAAGACTACTTAGAAATTATATAAGTTAAAAAAAATCTTTATTGGTGTGTTTGATAAATGCTGTATGTATTTGAAGAAGCTAAAATTAATGTTTGCCTTAATAATTTTCATTTTTTCTTCCTCAGCTACTGGAGTTAAGTTTGACTTGGAATTTGTACACATATTTACCCAGACTAAGAAGAAACTAACTTTCAGTTTCAGTTGTCTGCTTGGTACCTATTTTGGACTCACTCACCTCTCTAAATCCTGAGATCTTGCTTGGTGGCACTGAGACTTGCAACCAAAATAAGTTCCTCTGCTTAGAACAGTTTGTCTTTGTTCAAGGGATCTGTGTTTAAGGAAAGAATAAAACAACCAAGAAGCAATAAGTGAGATTTCTCTAGAAATAGTATTTTTTCATGTGAGGAAGCCTGTTTAGTGTCCTGTTTCTGTCTCTCAAACCAGTGCTTTCCAAGTAGTTTTTCCTCTTAAATGTGACCTTTTGATTAGCCTCTAGCATTTGCCTTCAGTAGCTCTCACAGAGCAGAAAATGGTAATAGTGATAATGCAGTAAACTGATAGAAATAAATGTAAAATAACATAGTGCTGTTGCCTGTCTGTTGATACCAAGATGCTATTTTTTAAATTAAAATATTTATTATTTTTCTTGTGAATATTCCACAAACCTCCTTGTCAAAGTAGTTTTTCCTTATTACTGGAGGTTGTGCTTGTTTTCAATTATTAAATCTTCCATGAGGAAAACGGGCTTTAAATCTATTACTTCTGTCTTCCATCAAGTACACTTTAATTGAGCAAAGATTGGGTATTACTTTCCAAATGAATTACCACTTTTGATAAAGTGTATATTTTGGTAAGAAGATGAGTTTTGGTAGAGCTGTTTTGTAACTGTTCAGATGCGGAGTTCAGTAGAAACTTAAACCTAAAGAGTCAGGTATATCTGTGATTTTCTATTCAAAGATGTTTCTGCCTGAACATAATCTTAAAATCATAGCGTGGTTTGGTTTGGAAGGTGTCATTAAAGGTCATCTAGTTCATTGCCTCCTGCAATGAGCAGGGGCATCTTAAGGGCTACTTTAACTTGTTCAGAGCCCCATCCAGTCCTTAATGTTTCCAGGGATGGGGTATCCACCACCTGTCTGGGCAACTTGCTCCAGTATTTGCCATCATTGTAAAACTTTCTTCCTTCACCTAATTGGAATACTCACTATTAGTTTAAAACTATCACCCTGTGTCCTGTCACAGGCCCTGCTGAAACATTTGTCACTGTTATGATTTCCTGCAGTGGCTAATGGAAGAGTGTTTGTATTAGTTTTGTTCTGTACATGACATGAAGCTCTTACTACAGGTCCCAAATGCAGTTTGGGTTAGCTGCTTTTGACAGGATAGCTAGTAGTTGTCTCTTCTAAGAAAAAGACAATATAATGTTGAAATTAGATTCTTCAGGCTTTATCTTCCTACATGCTTCTGGGTTTTATAATACTTTTGAAATGTTATTTACTTAGAATCTTCCTGTTTGTTTCCACCACCATTTCTGAATGATTAAACATTTGTTTTAACTATAGGGGAGCTTCTGAGTTTAGATAAGAACCAGCTATTCATGTTTGTCCTTATTGATTGGGTGGTCCCCATTGAGTCTCTGTCATAATTCTGACCTTTGGGTCTATTGTATGTAAATAAAATAGTAAGTTTTGTTGGATGGTTTTGATGAAACCAGACAGTGTAGCTTAAGTGTGTGTGGACTTGGATTAGGGTATTTATCTAGAAAGCAACGTTTCTCAGTCTGTTTGGATTTATTCAGATGACCATTTTTTTACATTTTTGATGGAAATACTTGAATTTTCTGATAGAATGTATTTTCATCAGTCAGTACTTTGTTCAAATGACAAGCATCTTCCTCATTCAAGTCTGCCTCATGTTGCCCCAGGAAATGGCCTACAAGTTGCATAAAAGAGCTGCGGAGCTTGGCTTCCTGCAAAAAGTTTCACTGCTGTTTCTCTGTTTATATTTTCTTATGTTTTAGTGTGCTGTATGTGTGGACGGGCCATAAGTTAATTGGAGGAATCTTAAACATTGAACTATTCTGGTTGTAAGCAACATCCATAACATCTATAAAAGACACTCTATGGGTGCTAGAAGTTTCTCCTACAGGACCACTTTGTAGGATTGAAAGACTTTGGATTTCAGCTTCCTTTTAACAAATACTTGCACAGTCTATTTACTTTGCAACTCAAATTAATTATGAGTTAACAACTACAGTTGGACTGGCTTTTACGTTATAATTTATTTGGCATATATAATATCTACTTGGTGAGGAAAAATTTATAATAGAGAAGTCTGGCAAAGGGTCATATTTAGTGCACTGTGGCTATAACTAGTGGTGCTTTTAAGGTGATTTTGCAGTCTTATAGTTGACACTTCTAAGAAGTAGATTTTCACTTAAACATAAAGGGTATTCTTGGCTGATTAATTTCTCTTCTAAGTAAACTGATGACTTTCACTACATCTTATCATTGAATCTTGCCTTTGGGGAAAACTCTTTTTTTACTCCATCCAGTGTTCACTCTTAAATATTTGTATAGATTTGGGGTTTGTACAGGGAAAACGTAACAATTTGGGAAATCTAAAATGCAGCATTGTTCTATAACACCTGATTTTCAGTTAAGTATTTTAGTGCATTTCTGTATGAGGGTAGAGTTAGTCCAATTTTTGTTACCAGTTAAGCAGCCCTCCAAATCCACCCCCACCATGGTAAATAGTGGAGTGCATCTTAAATAATTTGCAGCCTGACAGGTTGTTGTTTTGATACTTATCCACTCTTTTGACATTTCTTCAGCTCATATAAAACCAGTATAATTCTAAGATGAAATTCTCTAATGTGCCTCCAAAGATGTGAATATATTGTGAATGTAGTGTAATTGTTACATGTCTCAGTTGTGAACTTGGTGATGTGCTGTATATTTCTTCTAAAAAGTACTTCAGTGGGTAAGTAAACAGTAAAGTGCCTTTGAAAAAATATTTGTATTATGTTCAGCTGTTGATTTGTATTTAATTCATATTTTTAGTTTTTTCAACTGTTACTGAAAAAAGGAAGCTAACAGAAATGGGAAAATTTTTTTTATATTTTGGTTCCATGAATCTAAGGTGGCTCCTAAATACAGCAGATCCAGATTAATTGGCAGAATTGAAAAAGTTGCAATTAAAGGAATTGATATAATGGGATCTCATTTTTCAAAGGATTTCCAAATCCTTTGGAAGGTGTGATTATCTTCTCTAAGCACCTTTGTCTTGTGAAAATTATTTCTGAATTTTAGCTAAAAATATTTGAGAAAGCAGAGTTTTACCTCGCTTGTGAGTCTTAGTTGTTAAATCAAGGGGAAAATTTGCCAGAATACCTCTTTGCTTGTTTTCTCTCAAATCATCAAAAATAATGGCGTTTGGAAAACTATCCTTCTTTGCAGTTCATATACAGTGAAGGGATATGGTAGGATTTTTCTTTACCTGAACAGATGATGTAATGGTGATTGGAGGCATGGAATTAAAATATTTTGATTTTGTTCTTAGCTGCTGTATATACATGTAGGTTGTTTAGAGCCTGATTTTGCTTTCTGTGTACCTTTTTTTTGGATGATGAATAACGTTTATCTCAGGTTATGAGAAAATGAAATAAATAATAAATTTTTTGTCAGTTTTATAGATATTTTATATACAATGTTTTACTGTATTTTAACAAATGGAAATAAGAGAGGTGGGAGAAAAGCTCACAAATTATATTAATGCAGTGGCTTAAATGCAATATTAAAATTCAGTGAAGGAGCAAGTAACTACAAGACAAAATAATGAAGCAGAAAATACATAAACTGCAATATGGAACCAAGTTCTATAATCAACACAATAGGTTCCATGGTATATCTTAGCTTCTTTTAGACTATTTTCTTTCTTGTTAACAAGTTAGATTGTAATTTGAATTTTGAGCTGTAATACATTCTGAAAGTATGAGTTCTTATGTAAAACAAAGCTGTTACTTTGGTGTGTATTAAATAGTATTGTCTTTAACCTTTAGAATTAACCTTGTCTTTAATCTTTAGGACTATTAAATGTTGCTGGTTAGTGATATATCCCCTAAAGGTCTTGCTATTGAGAGTCATGTTAGTGCAATTAAACTGCTTTTGTTTCCAAACTGTCAGTTTAGACCTGACTTTAAATATCATGCAAGGATTGATCTATTGAAAGGGAGCTAACTTTAGTTCAGATTGGGTTTTGCATCCAGCTGTAAGCTGGAGAATGCAAAATCCAAACCATTCTGGGAGGTTCAGAGCGGTTTAACAGTTTACTGTAGAAGTATTTTTAAATAATAACTTCAATTTACATTGCTAAATACTTTTGAGGAGTTTTAATTGGGTGTTCTTTGTCTGTGGGCTTTAGTTATTGAGGACTATCCTTAGCAACTGATGCAGAAGGAAAGTGAGATCCCACAGGAGTTGAAGACTTTTTGTTCTCAGAACTAAAAGAAGAGAACAAAGTTGTAGGGCATAGAGGTTTTTCACAAATACATCCCTATACTTTTGCTGTTAGTTTTGAAAGAAATTCCCCTCTTCAAATAAAATTGATACTTCCTTTGCAATCTTACTGAAATGACAGGAATACTTAAGAAATATGCTGGAATAGTAATTTTTTCTGTAATTGTAGTTTTTGCTACCATTAGGAGCGTTTCCCCAGTTTGTAGCATTTACTGGAATATGTCTATCTGATTGTATTTCATGCAATTTGTATTCCTAATTTTACCTATGTGATACTTTTTTAATGTTGAGGGGTTTTAATGTTGCAACTTAATAGCCTTCTTAGTATGTTTTTTCAAAGATTGAGTCCTGGAGACAGCTATTAAACCTAAAGAAATTTCTTTTCATTAGGATTCCTATTTAAAAACAGGACTCTATAGTTTACTGCATGCTATATGTTTTATAGCTATGTTTACTATAGTTGTTATCTAGTTTAATGCATTTGTGTAGATTTGTGTGAAGTAAGAGAGTTTATATTTTTTTAGACTCTTGAGTGAGCACTATCACTCAGTTCCTAGAGTTTTGAGTAGTTTAGGCTGGAAGACATTTTTGGAATCATCTAGTATGATGCCCAGCTCGGAGTAGGGATCAGCTCTGAATTTAGACTTTGGTGCTCAAGAGCACATACAAATCTTGGATTTTGAAAGATCAGTATTTTTCATGTAAAATTACTTACTGCTGTTGCATATGAACTGTGTGGGGATATTGTAACTTTTGTATCTTACATAGAGCTCTTAATTGAGGAACAAACCAAAGAGGGAAGGGTGACAAGAAGGGTGGATGGAAGAGAAATCTTTTATTATTTTAACTTCTTCCTGCCACATAACTTCCAGTGCACTTGTCATTGGAGTGAAAGAGTGGACTATTCTGAGGAAAAAAAAACAAATAATGCATAATCATAAAAGTGTCCCCCAGATTCTAGTTCTAAGTAACTGCTAGTTCTGCTAACTAGAAGCTTTAATAACTTGTATGATTTATGTCATTAAAATATAGATGTCTTTCAGTAAGTTACAATTTAAGTAAGGTTTAAGGGCCTTATGCCTCATTAAGAGGTCTTTGGAAATAATTTTTCTTTCTAGAAGGAACTTAATAAAATAAACCACACTAGAACGGAGAATAAATTCTAGTAAGAAGTACAGAAATGTCATACCTGTTTTCACAAATATATAGTCTGTTAGAGAATAAAGTTCAGTTTTCATGTTAATGAAAAAAAGTGAGAATCAGCAGCACTGTTAACTACATTTTACTCTACATACACAACCTAGATAAAGTGCTAATAAAACTTAATTTTCAAGTTTATGGGGAAAGTGTTCTTTTCTTGCTAAGGCATTTTTTGGATGCCATGTCTTAGCATTTTGGTGGTTACTATACTATAAAAGGTAAGTAAATATCTGCATGTTCTTCTGGCCACAAACCATTGAAAACTGTATGGTCTGCCATCATAATGATTCTGAGATATCTTGCTTTTTTGCTGTTCTAAAATTTTCCATGCCATATTTTGTTCATACCATAATTTTTGACAGTTTTGTTACCATGAATATTGCATCACTTGGAGACAAGAAAAATTTTCACTGGGTTGCTGCAATTGCAAGGGCTATTTTTAAGGAAAAAAGTAGCACTGGTTTGTCAGTTTAAAAAGTCACATTTATGACTATTTGTATTTTACTTGCAGTGTGACCTGTATCAATTCTTAGGTGTTTTTCAAACTATTTAGTTTCATGGTTTTGTAGAACATTAAAAAATAGTGTTATATATTTAACAAATTCAGAGGAATCATCTTGGCTGTTCTCTGTATATTTAGACTGCTGTATCAGTGGTGATAAGAGGTGTAAGAACATAGCACATGATACACCTCAAATACTTTGGAAAACTGCTTTCAAGTACTTGGTAAAAATGGGAGAATCTATACTATGTTAAATGTTAAGTACATAGTTTGAAAACTTGAGTGTATTCATTATTTTGGTGTAGATCTACTTTTTACATTTGACATTAAAATTAGTTGGCATTGTGAGAAATACAATTTTTAATGTAATGTAATTAGTATAATCCTATAGTTGCCATCATAGCAGTTTTTCTAAAAGATTACTCAGATGCATTAGACCTTTTTGAAGGTTGTCTGCTTTAGTGAGTTCTGAAGTATTTTACAAGAATCCTGGCAACAAATAATTTGGAAAAGTTTGAGTTGTGTAAACACTGCTTTTTCAATCAGACATTTTTTGTTTGCTGACTTTGTCTTTTTGATAATGTTTTTTTCTGATTTTCACGAAGTTTAACGTATGCTTTTCTGCATATTCTTTGTCTTATGGCTTTCTTTTTCCCCCTGTAATAGCATATCATCTATTTTTCTTTTTCTCTTCCTGTTAAGATTTTTTTCCCAGGTATGGGTGACTTCAGAGGTTCCTAATCATGCTACATATTTCTCTCTTAAGAGTTTTGCCCTGTTCTCGTGCTGCTCAGTTTTAATTCCCTGTTGTGGGTAGTTATGGGTGGCTTTGGGGAAGGGACTGAAGCAGGCTGTTACTGAACAGAAGAATGGGAAAGTCATATAGTGAGGAAAAGAAGCTTTGAGAAGGTAACACTATTGTTGTCAAGCTCTGCAAAAGGCTTGAGTATCTGAAAATGAAATTCTCAGGTGGGCTGGAATTACCAACCAGGAGTGGTTCAGCTATTGTGTCTAACTGCCTGTTGGTATTCCTTTCTGTTATGTGTTGGGCAAAACCCATGGACTTGTTGATCTAGCTTACCTGTAGTAACATGTGTTTGCTCACATAGTAAAGAGCTGTCTAGGATCTGATTTGTGTGTGACAGGACTGAATTTTTGTTACCACACAGGTCACCTCCAGACAGAATTTTTGAACATCTAATGACATAAATGATATATACTGCAGGTTAATGTTTGAAATTGAGTATTTTTTCTGACAGGAAGTGTAAACTTGCTAATTCTGTGTTATGAGTATGAAAGAATTTTCCTGTGCTGAAAAGTCAAAGGAACATGATATATTTTGTACATGCATCAGTAGGAATAATTATAAGCTGCAGCAGCATCTTAATTTTGCAGACATGTTGCTAAAGTAATAGCCAGCAGAGACCTTAAGGCACATTTATGGGTCTTGATTTTATACCTGAAATGTTTATGTTGTAGTAATTCAACACTGAAGTTAAAGCTAAAAAATGGCAAATAATTACTTCATGTTTTTTCTTACAAATGTTAAACTAGACTAAACAAAAGTAGGTTCTACCCATCTTTGTACTTCAGTTAACTGAAGACTGGTATCATTTCAAGACAGGGAAAAATGGTTGATTGCTAGGAAGAAGACTAGTGTGTTTTTTAAAGAAAGGCTACATCAGAGCTTGCATATGCTTCTGTCCTTTACAAAGAAAACAAGTTAAGTTCTAGTAACTAGTGCAGCCTTACAACTCTGTACTTAGCATCCTTATCTAACCAGTATAGTACTTAGCCTTGCCTTATGGCATTTGTCACATTAAAAAAACCAATACCAACCAACTTGCAGTTGAACCTGAGATGAATCAAAGAAGGTTTGTGCCTACTGTAAAGTCTGGTGCTTTGCTTTGCAATGAAAAAGTTTCTCACAACTGTTCCTGGCATGTCCGCTTGTCACACAAAGTATATAGGCATGCACCTATGCACAGAATCTGTCTAGTGTAAACTGATAGCCACAGTGTTTCCATATCCTTTTGGGTTAGGGACTTAGAGTAGGGATCATATACCACTTTCCCTTCTGCTTCCTGATGTCAAGACTGAGGTGTACAAGTAGTCTGATAATCAATATGGTTGTATGCTGATTTGTGACTAACTCATGTCAAGTTTATGGGTATGGTTGATCCCTGTGGGGCTGCTGATTTTACTTGACATGTCAATTGATGCTGCTGTGAAAGGCCTGTCAGAGTAGCTGCATGTTCTCTAAAAAATTTTTAATGTGGGTTCTAGGTCAGAGGAAGAGATCTTCCTTAGTGTTCCATCAATGGCCTTTTTAGCTGGACTTTAAAGCCTGCCTGTGTCTTTTAGTTACCAGACCTTATTTTTCTGCTCCACATTAAGGCATATTTTTTTTGAAAACAGTGTGTACTCTTCTTATGTTAAGTAGTTTTTCTAGGTTAATATGAGTTATTACAAACAAAGTTGTTGACTTGAGAGCTCTTAATCATATATCTCAGGGCAATTTCCTATAATAAGATATTTAGGTAAAACTGTTGGTTCTGTTCTGTCAAATAGTGGTGTCTGCTGCTTCAAGTGGCTGAAGATAGAAGACTCATGTTTGGCATCCCAAATATGATTGACCAAACCAGACTTCTGTGAACCTGTACAAATGTGATGAATGTATTTTGATTTATTATTGTTTCCATGTAAAAGTTGCTTATAGACTGATTTAGTTGCCTAGTATGTGGATTTCTTTTCAAAGTGCATCTGAACTTAGGCCCTTAAATCATAAATGGAATGGCTTTTCACTACGAGGTAAATTGTTTCAATTTTCTTATTTTTAGCACATGTGTGTTTGTTTTCTCAAGAGCAGAATACTTGTTAATATTCCTGAAGAAAATTAAGGAGAATTTTAAAAAATAAATGTCTTTAGGTTTTGTTTTGAATTGTGAATATGTTTCTATTTAATTTTTTTTATGTAAACAGTAATCCAAAAATCCCTTGGAATTGTCTCTGATAGAGTATTTTGTTTTCCTCTAAGTGATGATTTTTTTGCCTCTTCGGGTAACCTTTGAGTATTGTTTCACAGCAGGCTGGGAATCTTGTTCAGTTCTGTAAGAAATCTTTTGCTGTTGGGTGACTGACCATCAGTTGAATCTGGATCAGTTTGGTGTGTTGTCTGTTTAGTTTAAATGCATGTTACAGTTTCTGGTGACACTATAGTTTTATGCTGGTTTTAAAAGGATGGTCAGTATCTGAACTAACATCAATAGCAAAGTATAATTCATTAAAAAAATATACCTCCTCCAAGTTAAGTTAAAACTATTTGAACAATGATGAATTGGTAGGTTGAATTTATATACTGTAATATAATACATCAGAGCTTTGTTTTCAATCAACACAAGTAATTTTGAGTCATGAAATCAGGTTGAGTATTATTGAACCACTTGGCCTTTAGGCAAGTATTGTAATAAGATCTGTTTGTTTACAGGTAAAATAGAAACGTATTTATTAATTTAAAACACTCCATAAAGATTAATTCATTTGTGGTTGATCACATAACTATTTGAGAGCTTTAGACTGCTCATAAATGAAACGTGGGATATTTAATCTTTATTATGCAAAAATGTACAGCATTGTTACATTGAACTTATTCATCCCTTTGATGTTATAAAAACCAGGAGTGTAATTAATGTCTTTCCTTGCACTGTTTTTAATCAATGGAAACTTTTGACACTTTAACATTTTTATTTTCATGGAGTAAATAGGAATGTTTTAAGTTCTAAGAATGATAGGTTGACCATGAAAACTATGTTTACTTTCAGAGAGAACAGGAAATGAGAATGGGTGATATGGGTCCTCGTGGAGCAATAAACATGGGAGGTAGGGATCTGAAGGAAAAAGGCTTCTCTAATGTAAATTTTTTTTCTTTGGGACTGTACATATTACTCAAGCACTATTAAATAGTGACAACTGGTAAAAAAGGAGTAAGCAATATTAGGAAATAAAAAAACCCCAACATATATTTTGCTTTCAAGCAGCCTCTTTCCACCCCCCCCTCCCCCAGCCCTGTATCTTTATTTTACTCCTTTAACTACATGACAAAAAAAAAAAAAAAAAAAAAAAAAAAAAAAAAAAAAAAAAAGTGCAAGTTAAGAGAAACAAAAATCAGGGACAAGTGATGCTCTGGGAGTTATCTGCTACCAAAGAAGAATTTTATGTTAAAAAAATATTTGGTATTATTTTGGAGGGACTACCTATTTGAAGAAATTATGATTGTAATTGCATGTAAATGATGTAGAGGTCAAAACTGGCAACTTCTTCATATACTTGGTGTGGTAAATGAATAATGTGCTTGGTGTTCCACCAGTTTCCTCCAAGTCTCTTATTTGCAAATATTCTCTGTTAGCTTTTGCAACTTAAAATACTGTCACTGCTAAAATCTATTACTGTGTAATCTACTACTAAAAACTAGTACTGTGTAATAGAAAAGTATAATAATTAGTGCTTGCTCCATGTATGCAAACTGGAACAGTTTGGAATTTACTTACCCAGAATATCTGCTTTTAAACAAGACTGAAACTTGAAATATTTCTTCAAAACCACCAAATCTAACTAAACTGTGTGAACTGTTAATCTATTGGAAGCTTCTTAATGGTAATTTAAAACAAATTAAGGTGGTAATTAAAAGAAAAGTAATAAAACTATTTTCCCATATATTTTAAAATTGAAAGTGCATACAAAACTCAGTAATTTCACTTGACCTTTTGAGTAATGTGAATTTATAGAGTAAGAAATCTGCTTCAGATTTTGAAACACGTTATTCACAATTTCCTTGCATTTATTGAGACACATTTGTAGCTGAAAAAATAGCAATAGGCTTGTGCTTTCAGGGATGATGAAAGTTATTTACAAATAATTCTGAAGAAGGACACCGTGAAATTATCTATAGATATTAAGCTGAAGCATAAATTGAGGCTTAGTTTCCTTATTTTATAGTTGTACTTCTGCATATGATTGCATCATACTTGAAAATTACATTTAATTAGAAGACCTAGTAAATATTGATGCTGTGTCAGTTGTCCAGATCCACAAAATACACTTTCTACATGGAGATTTAAAATGTTTATTTACTGCAGTTCTTAGTAGTGATGTTACCGGTCTTGCTAAGTTTTATATTACAACTTGATTTTAAACTTAATACTTTTAGAATAAATTGTGTCATCCAAAAAAAAAAAGTTATAGTAACACTGAACTGCTACTTTAAAATATCCATCACAAATAAGTGTAGCATTTATTTCTGCAGAGGCTGGATTTTATGTTCACTCATTATAGAGATTTGGGTTTTTTTCTAGTGTATTAACTCCATTAGTACAACCAAAATAATTGACCCCAGAACCTTACAGTAGACCTTTAAATAGAATTTTAGTTGTTGACAGTAGCATCCTTTCTTAATATTTCTGTTGGAATTGTAACTTTATTTTTTACTTAACCTTAACCTGTGCCATTAGTGACTTTTTATAAGGTGGGACAGAGGGAGCTGGAATATTTCCAATAACTGAAATACCTGAATGATAATTTTCTTAGAAAGCAGAGTACCTCTGTGACGGATTTAATAAGTGCTGACATGTGCAGAACTGCTCATTTTTACAGCTTTCTGTGACAAGCAAGTTCTGAGAGAAGTATGTATACCTCATCAGAGCAGTTAATTGGATCTTTAGTGCTAAGTTCATCTTAAATATGGAAAAAAAAAAGGGGCTTTTTTGGGGAACTGTCTCAGCATTCATGAAGATTATTGACTTTCTTGTTGGTGCATTTCAGACATTTAGAGTGGACTTTTTCAGCCCTTCAGTTTGCAGAAAAGGACTTTTTTTCAGTGTCTGCATTGTAGCATGAACACTAATGACTGCTTTCCATCTGTTGCTGAACACCGTCCTGTAAATGAACTCCTCACATCAGTGCCCCACCAAAAAGAAAGGACAATCAAGTGGTTAGCTCTCAGGGTCTGCTTTGGAGATAGGAGGATTTTGGAGGACCTCTGAGTTACAGCTAACCTGTTTTAGTGGCCTCTTGCTGAAAGTATGCAGGGCCCCACTTTCTCCTTGCATTATACTCTGTAGTTTTGCTCCTTTCAAATCTGACTCTGCCTGAAACAGGATCAGAATTCTAGAGGTTTGATAGTATGAGTTGCTGTCTGCCACCCTGGGTATCATTTGTATGATACAGAGCATGAGACTTTGTGGAAGTTGACAGTGAGCCTGTGAGTACCTGGCTCAGTTTAATTAGGCTGATAAGCAAACCAATAGCAAGTAATTAAGCATTTAGTTAATGACACTACTACATGCACTAGGTGCTGTTACCATCATGATAGTCCTGCAGAGTGCCTCTAGACTCTGAGAATAAAGGTTTCTCCTTATATTGGCAGTTTAGACTTCCTTTCCTTCTGTATCCAACTGAATGGATGACAGTAAAAAACTGTTTTAGACATATGCTACTGTAATTTTCTTGAATTGTAGCCCAGTCTTCTACCTGGTACATGAGCTGACAATGTGTATGGATTGGTAAGAAGCATCCAACATGAGTGTACCTTTGTTTTGACTTAATGTTATAGGGAGAGGTCTAGGAGTTACTTCATTACTAAGCTCAAAGACTTCTTTTCAAAATTATAGAATTTCTGTCACTTGTAGTAAACCTGTTTAGCACTTCTCATGTGCTACTATGTAGCATGCATTGTTTTTGCTAAGGAGTTTGTGATTGGCCTAATGTATATATGATCAAAACCAAGTCTTCAATTTTAGCAGCAATATCTTGAATGCCATGGTTTCACTGGCTGCTGTGACATGGTGTTCTCAAGGTAAATAATTGAGATGTAATTGTGCATGCCTGCAGATAGTCTCACAGTACTGTATCTGTGAGAAATGGGCTCCTTTGAATGATGTATATTTATATATTCATTATTTAAAAAGTGCAGTTGTGGTGAGAAGTGAGAGGGTTTATCTTTAAAATAGAAACAACAGGCTTATTAGTCTAGTAACATGTCAGATTTCTTTGTACTATGAAAGTATATTCTTAAAGTGTACACTAAATGACAAAGGTATGCTTTCTTCCATTATCAAAATTTGGATGCATACTTTTCGCTGAAGAGGATGGATTTTTGTGGGGAATGGGAGGAATGCATCACCACCAGCCTTGAAGTTGATATTTCATAATAGTAAGGTGTGGGGTAGATAATCAGACTGTTTTCTCAAAGCAACACATGAAATTACTATGAGGGCATTTTTACCTATGTGTTCAGTACGTTATTGAGTACTGCAGAGTGATGCTTCTTAGTGTAATATTACAGCTAAATTATCTCCTCAGAATATGTTTTCAGAATTTTCTTTTACCTCTTTTGTTCAGACATTTGGAGGAGATTGTTGTGTCATTTCTAGTTCTAACAAAACTACTTAGTTTTCTGGTACTTATACCATAAGAAATTACAACTAAATGCAAGATTTTATTTATTCCATATTGCAAATAATTTATTATGAAGTTGAGTACCAATTCTGTTATTGCTGTTAGACTGTAGACTAATCTACTGTACATTATATCAATTAACATACTACTGGTAGAAGACTTCTTGAAAATGTACGTTTTATCTGTTAAGATCCCTAAAGGGCCAAGTTGTCTTACAGCTGCCAATATCTGTAAAATCACTTGAGATTTTTGCAAATTTGTGGTGTGCATACTCTATATAGATGCAATATGAACATTTTCGTTCCTGCACAGAAACTCTACAGCTATATTTAGCTGTAAAGACTGGGATTTTCAATTACATGAGGCAAATTATGTAATTCAGAATAATAGAGATTATTTAAAATCTGTTTAAAAGCAGATGATTGAGATAAATGTACAGTCTCAAAGAACATTTTTTCAAGTATTTGAAGTCTTGTACATTTGGCTTTTTAAATATTGTAAATTGTTTGTTTGTTCTTGTAAAATTAAGATAGGACAGCTCTAAGTATAGATTGTTTTGCATAGATGCGTTTAGCCCAGCACCTGCTGGTAACCAAGGCCCTCCTCCAATGATGGGTATGAATATGAACAACAGAGGAACTTTACCTGGCCCTGCAATGGGTCCTGGTCCTTCCATGGGACCAGAAGGAGCTGCAAATATGGGAACACCAATGATGCCAGATAATGGAACAGTGGTAATGTATCACAAATTTAATTCTTTTGAATAGCTGTCATGTCTCATGGCCCATTCTTCTTACCAAAGGTATTTTCACGCTGTGTAAGTATGTGTTCCATGTTTTGGATCTGTTAAAAGTAATTGATAAAACAAACCTTTTCATGCAAATAATTTGCAACCCAAAAGAGAAATATTTTTTTGATATTACTGTGAAAATCCTACATCACTTAGGAATGAAAATCTCTAAATTTAGACTTCTGCTGTTCTTTTCTTTAGTAAAACTAAATCCTCTGATTTAGCTTGTTGGGGTATTTGATGAACAGTTAAATGTTGGAAGATGCAAAGTGTGAAGATATCTTTGTGTAAACTATTTAATTTTTAAAAGCAACTTTAGTGTTCTTTGTATTTCTTTTCTAACACTGTTAAACGCATGAGATTGACAGTAGTTGTGCCACTTAGAAAATCAGTAGCCAACAGGTATTGGTAACTGTTATATCAATACAGGAAAGATAATACTGCCCAGTTGCCACGGTCATAGGGGAATGTCTTTTATGTCTGGGATTTTTAATCAAGAGCAAATAGGCCATTGGGATGCAGTTAAAGCATTAGCCATTCCTGCTTTATTCTCATAGCCAATCACTTTTCCTAGCTGTAATGTCTTATGTAGAGAAACAACTATATAATTTGAAATCTGACTTTTACGTATTTTTTCAGTACTCTTCTGTTACTAGATTAGTGGTGGTGTGATATAAAGGAATATATAATCTTAACAGTTATTCTGTTACAGTTTTTTGGAACACAGAAGCATTTTGTAGCTGTGTTTTTTTAGATATACTTTCTCAACAGTATCTGTCTGTGATTGAGCCATCTGTATAATGAAGTTAAAACAAAATCCTTTGTTCCATAGAAGAAAAGGAGGTCTCAGTTTTGTACAAAATGGACTGTGGGTCTGGTCTTTACCAGGTAAAAATGAGAGGTCTTATTTCACGTCACAGGAGCCAGCTTATTTTATCAGTTGTGTCATTTTTCACAAAGTGGGGAGGATGCTATTTACAAAATACTGAATTGGGAAATTTTTGCTGGAGACCACTGTATTACTGGTCACATTGAGAACCTTCTCTTGTGGTTATATAGACACTGAAAAAAAGATGTGTGGAAAAGAACGTGGTATCATAAATCACAGTATCTAACCTAAACTGTTGTTTTTCTACAAAAAGTCATTCCAGGTATGGAAATGTAGGAAATATACTGACACTTCAAAATGCATGTTTCAAAAAAAAATATTTTTCCTTTCATTTTCTTATGCATGCTTCTGAAAGACAAATTAGATTTTAGTTTTTTCTTCGTTTTGGTCTTTGAAGGTTTTTAACTTGGGAGGTCAGGCCCCTACAGAAAGGCATAGCTTTATTGTATTATTGCTGTTGTTAGAAAGATACTTTAAAGATCCTTTGAAGGCTATCTACTAGAACACTGTAGCAGTTTTTTTTCCACTGAGGGAAATTAAGAATATGCTTTATAAATTACAAATTTAATGTTTTTAATTGGATCTTTTTCTGAAGTCTTGAAGGGAAAATTATAGCAATCTCCCTTTTGTTTCACTGAAGTCTTTTGAAACCTGAATTGTCTTTGAACATAACATTTTAAAGGTAGCTTCCCCCACTTACTAATGTAGGTAGTTAATTACAGCAGTTTTCTTGATAGCTGGAAAGAGGGGTCCTTATTGGAAAGAGGACATGACTTTTTGTCCAAAAGTCTAATGGTAAAAGGGGTCAGGAGTATGTGGTAACTTAGTTGCTGAAATTCATATCCATTGCTAACATGCTGGCATGCATTAAGATAAATTTAAAACAGTTTTTACCCAGTGCTACAGATTTAAAGGTGCTTTAGCTCAGTAATAGATCTTTATGCACCTCTTGAAGTAACCTTTTTCATATACAATGTTGCACTTGAAATAATGCACATATGTACAGCCATGATTTAGGTTGCATGTACTTCTATCTATATAGATAAAATGCTGGGGTTTTAGTTATCTATACACACATACATACATATATATATATATATATA